TTAAGATTTTATACTATAGCACATTTCTAATAGGTTTAACGAATTACATGTCATTTATTTGAATTCAAATTTATTTTAATGACTTAGTATCTACTAAAAAGATGTAATTTTTTTTTAAAAAAAAAAGTTGTTATGTGGATTTGAATGATTGTTTTGAATTCTTAGAATTTTGTGCATTTGCAATGCACCTAAGTTAGTAGCGAGTGAAGTGAGCTTGGTTTGCAAAGCAAACCATATAAGATTGCGCAGCAACTTTCGGGGGTTGGCGAGCGTTAGCGAGCAGGGGGCGCAGCCCACTAGTTTATTTTTAATCACCCGAAGCAGTGGTTCTCAATTTTTAATGGCTACGGTGCCCTCACTGACCAAGCATCTTTTGGCGGAACCCCAAATATATGAATAAAATTTATTGGCAGCTGTAGATATACTTACCAAATAAAGACTACTAATTATTTTGATAATATTTAACGCTATTTCTCGAAGTTTTATTGCTATGGAAAATAAAAAACAGCTATAGTTTAAGTGCCTTACACTTTCAAGCAATGTGATGATTTTAAACTATATATATAATCTTGCCGTGAAGAATTATCTGGTTTTTAGAACAGACAAATAACTTAAATATTTTAAAAGTTATTAAACTTTTTTAAAAATCACCAAATTTGACGACATTTTCCCACCAAGATAAAAATTATCAAAATCACTGCCTTATTCTCAGATTTTGCAAATTTTTATGAGCCCAAGTAATGCTGCATTGGAGTAAGATTTTAAATACTAAAAAATTAGAGTAGAAACGTTTTTTATTTTCACAAAACTGTGGCTTTTCTCCATATTGACGTTTTGCGCCATTTTCAAAATAAGCGTAGACAACGCTGGCTTTAGATAGGCTAAACCTAACAGTCATGAGTAACAGTTGCAAACTCATAACAGTTATAAAAGTAGCAGGTTATTCATAAAATAGCATAATTTCATCTTACTACGGAACGGAGTCTTCGAAAAACAGCCTTAATGTGAAGCAGGAAATTTTTTTTCAAATATCGTTTTATCATTAAAACTCTAAGTAATGTCTTTCGTCAAAGCCTGGATTCACCAGCCTGGAGTGGTATCTAGTCCAGTTCTAAATTTATTTTTGGCACATAAATTAGCTCAAAAGGAATTAAATAAGCAGAATTACAGTGTTTAAAAAAGAACTCATAAAAGTTAAGAACATTTCTTAACGTTAGCTGTCACAGAAAAATAATTCGTTGTTCTTGAATTTGGCCGTTTTATTTCAAATTGAAAAGTTCGTAGAGAAGTACTGATGAGTTATAAATATTGCTGTTTGCATTTCTGTACTTAAATAATTTTATGAAGATATCAAAAATCTTATGGTTTATTCTTTAGATGCAAGTATAATTATATTTAGATGCAAGTATAATTTCAAAAATCATTACTGATTTAAAAAAAAAACTGTCGGAACTCCTGCGACCGGAACACTTTTTAGGAGCCTTTAATCTAAAGAGTCAAGTCAATAGAATCAATCAAATTAGTTGATAAAACCAATCATCAGTCTTTTAAAAAATATATAATACAAAGAATCACGTAGTTGATTTTTTTAAAACAATTTAAGTAATTAACCTAATGTTATTTATTTTCTGATTTCTAAATAATCAAATTAATATGATCAAACAATTTATTAAATGTAAGAAACTATCGAAATTTAACAATTCAGAAGCCGTTAATGTAACAATAAATAGATGAGTAAAACGTGGAAAAATCTTCGCATTTTAGTAAGAGTAACCAAATTAATCTGCAGATTAACTAAGTAATGAGTAAATTAACAGATTTCGGTAAAATTCTTCGGGTTACCATTCAATTTTATAAGCTATAATGATGTAAGGTAACATACAAGTTGCTGTTATTAATTTCCAGAATTGTTCCTGAAATTATTATGTGAATTACAATTATATTTATGTTTTTAAATAACCTATACCTCGTGATATACAATGTGCAAAAAACACCCTGAATAATTTTTGGTCTAATGATCGGATTTTCACGTACTAAGATACAATATTAATGATTTGAGAACTTGAAATATTGTTATTAACTGGTGTATTTGTACTTTTGATCCTCAAAACTTTTTTGCACACAATGATAAAACAAGTTTATTCAGAAATAATTTCAAGCAAAACTAATTTTTAATTATTTATTTTTATTTTTAATGCTTGCAAAAACTTTGAACAGCAAGGGTATACAAAGTTTTACATCATGCTAAATTATGTAATTTTAAATCGCAAAATTTGAACAAAATTGATCGATAATTTCCTGAACTATCCAATTTCTAAATTATATATTTAAAATTCAATTTATAGTAACTATTCGAAAGACTTCGTTCATACTTTAAATTGAGTAAAAATTTGTCAAATAAATAAACTAACAAGCTGTTTGAAATTGCAAATGATAGAAAAAAGATTTGGCGAATCTTAAGAATTGTTATCCCGCAACTGAAAAAAGATTTCTTTCGTTGACACGAGTAATTTTTCAGTAAACCTTGATTGATAAATTTTGAAACTTAGAGCAAAAGAATCAAAGTAAACAATGCAATATAACAGTCACGTGACAAAACGAAGTTGCAGGAACAAAACGAAGTGAATATTATACACACATAATATACTTATTAAACTATACATTATTTCGGTTTTTAATGGTAAACTATTCTACAATTACTTGGTTGTGACAGAAACATAACGTAATAATTATAAAAGACAATATATATAAACACTTATTTCTGGTACTTACATACTTAGTTAGCCATTTATTTACTGCACTAACATATGTGCTCGAGCAACTTGTTTGCTAGTATTATGTTTCCGGTAGCATTTTTCTGCGAAATACTAAAAGCATGAACGTGGCCGAGAGATCGAAGTTCCAACTAAGGAACGGAAGGTCATAGGTTCGTGTTTGAACTACGATTGTGAGAAAAGGTATGGGTCGTCATAAAAGCATCTGATTTCTATTGCACAACTTCACGGAACGTGTACGGAAATCTTCAAAAACGAAGTTCCGTCAGCGCTCTGGATAATGGAGATAGCAGGCATGAATCCCTAAATTATCCTGAATGCATAGTTAAGCAGACTTTCTCCAATTAGTCTTATGTGTTCTTTAGTTAGACAAGAGTTTAAAAGCCATATTTTGTTTTTAGTAATTGCATACGCATTTTTTTTCAACCGATGCTGTTCAGCCGTCCCAATTCTGAGTTTACGACCACGAATGTTCAACTGAGTAGTCTTGTTAGTTTGAACCTAATCCTAACGACAAGGAAACTCCTGGATCTACCATTGGGACAAACTAGCCTTCGTGGAGGGCTTTTCGACGGAATCAACTCCTATTTGCGTTATATGGAAAGCAAAAACTTTCCTTGGTTAGCCTGACGGTAAGGTTAAGGGGATTCTAACTCATGATCCGTCTTCCTCTGAGGACATTTTTACGTCAGCACTGTGTTCGGTGCTAGTCGAGAGCAGAATTTGTATCAACCAGTCACCACTGCATATGTGTTAGAAAATATAAATAATCAAGAACGAACTTGAGCCCCCCCCCGTATTATGAAGTAAAGAAATAGCGCTTAATTTAGAAACTTTGAGGTAACGAGTGTTTGATTCGCACTATAAATTTTGAATTATAAAGGCTATTTTTTTAAAAAAATTTTTTAGGTCTATGAGGGTATTTCTGTAACACAAAAAGTTTTATACATAAAATAAGGCTCAATATCTTTCTACCTTTGTCCCGCAGTGGACTGATCGTTAAGACACGGTTCCCAGCAGATCACCGAAGTCAAGCCTCACTGGCTGCGGTCAGTGTGCGGGTGGGTGACCACTTGGATCAGTCTGCGTAGGGACCGAGAGTGTGCGGTACAGGTCCTCGTTAAACTGTGCTACCGTAAAGTGCTCGACTTCGCGGGCAGGTCGTCGGGCTACCGAAGCGGGGGTGCCATCCCCTCCGCAGAGGATCAAAATTGTGTGGCATGTCTTCGGGATGTTTCCCAGACCGTCGCCAATAGCCCATTGTGCAGCTCTAGTGCGACGTAAATTAACAACAACAACAATCTTTCTACCTTTAATATGAAATTCATTAAACAATTTTACCGCGATTAAAATGTATGCACTATAGTAAAATAAACATTCACATTCAACAGTATAGAAGAGAAAAATAAAGTTAAATTTTCGATGTGAACCGGTGCTAAATCCAGGTGGTATATTCCTCCTGTGTTGCGAATAGTATAAAATACCATATACTTTTATAATTTTCTTAATGTATTATCGATGATTTTATGCTAAGGGAGGAAAATTTTAAAACTTTTTTTACTCAATACGTGTTTTTGGTGTATACAAACCGCAAAATAAATAAACATCCTCAAAATCTTTTGAGCTAATGAACGTCGGAATTTTATTCACGTCGCTCTAGAGCTGTAGAATGGGCTATTGCCGACAGTCTGGGAAACATCACTGAGGATGATCCGAAATATGCCGTCTCAATTTTGATGGCCCGACGACACTTTACGAATATTGTTCCATAAAGACTGCCATTAATAGGTATTTTTAGAATCTTATTCAAAAATGAAAAGAAAAGAAGTAAATAAATTTGGAGGCTCAAATTAATATTTCGGTGAGGAAAAAAACGCTATCGAAATCTCATGAATTATTGTAGAGGTAGGAGAATGTAATAAATATTAAAACTGAATTGAAGGCTGAAATTTAAGAGTGTTTCGAATAATTTTCTTGAACGCCTCTCACCATCAAACCTGTTTTAACCATTAGCTTACTACATTCGCCTTCCTGTACGGTATTTCTTTAGATTTCGACAGCGTTTTTAATTTTTCTTTGGCTAAAAACTAATTTGCATAGACATAGCATGCAAGAAATTTTTAAGGGGGCATGTATTTCATATTCTTAGAATATGTATAATAAATTCAAAACGCTAAAAGAAATGTACAGAAATTTTTTTAGGAATGTCTTAAAATTTAAGAGTATTTTTCTGCATTTAACGAAGAATTTAATAAGTAGTATAGTGTCAATAATTAAAAATTTTAGCAGAACGTGACGGCTATTTTGAATGTATTCAAAACATGTCTTGTAACCATGCCAAGTCTGAATTTTGATGTTCTTTTTTCTTAAAATTAAAAAAATCAATGGCAAAATTACTAGTTTATAATCACTTCCTGTAAAAGTTAAAAATTGATGTTAATCCGATTTCAAGGAATGGTAGTACAAAAAAGCGATTTTTCACCATTTCTAAGCTTAATTTTAAACAATTATTAGATTGATTTTAGAAACATAAGTTAAATTTTTCCTAAACATTTATAAGAATTAAGATTCATTTCAATTTTTAAACATATTTGCGATTGAAAAATAAAGTATTAATTTTAATACAATCCCTACTATCACAAAATATGTTTTAAAGTAGTATAAATATAAATTAGTCTAGTTTGTAATTAGTGATATGATTCGCTTTTCTTACAGTACGAAAAAGTAAAAAATGTTTTATAAATATAATGCGTTTTTAACCGTTTTGCTTATGGTGTACTATGCTAAACCATCACATGCGGTACACATGTTGTACCAGCCGTAAACAAAAGGTTATATACCAGAATGGTTCTGAGCAAATCAGATCCATTCTAATGCTGAACTTTATTTATAATTTAACATTGTTATTCCTCAATATGAGATTCCTTTAAAATCTAAAAAAATAAATAAATAATAATGACAATTTTACTATTTGAGTAATAATATGCAATTTCTTAATATTTTTATGCTTTTGGCGCAATTCGGTCTTCCAGTCCAGTAATTAGTTTTGATTTGATGATAAGTTATTTGATCATAAGATACAATAGTTTAGAACTCATTCTATAAAACATGTTGAAAAATTATACACTACAATTGAAATTAATCAATAATAAAAAAATAGGATATTTCGTATAAAATGGAACATATTGGTTAAAAATTTCAAGAAAATTAAATATAAGTAGTCTAAAATCAAATTTACTTTATACTTGCAACAAATCAGAATATAAATTTAGAGTTCAAAACAACCTGGAAAATTATTTTATGCTATGAAACAAAAATAAGTCATACTAAAAACTTTTGTCAAAAGAAAAAAGTAAGTTTTTTTAATAATTACTATACACAATATTGATAGAAAATAATTGTAACTAGAGATATTTAAATTTTGCACAAATTAAGCGGAATAACTTTTGCTTATAATTATAAACTAACATTAAAATCGATAAGTAATAATAGAAAAAGTTTTAAAAAAATAATTAAATGGTTTTCAAAACAAAAACTTAACATAGAACATCGAGAGTGACAAAAATTTCCATTAAATTATTGATACAATATAAAAAATTATTAGTTTTTTTGGGTTTAAAAAAAGAAAACTTAAAAAATTCTGACGTTTTGAAAAATTATTGATGAGGTATATGCTCCTCTGAAGCTGTCTGTGCTAATTTGCGACCCCCACTGTGAATCCTTTATTGTTTAAATTTTTGATAACGTTTCCAAAAAATACAAGTTAAGGGTCGTGTTTAAGAAATACCCTGTATATTATGGCGTAATTTTAAACCCAAATTCGATTGAATAAGTTCTAGATCAGTGATTCTCAACCTTTTTTTTTTTTGTAGCTGCACACTTTTGAAGATTTCAAAATTTGGCAGCACACAAAGAAAAAGATAAGTTTAAAAGTTGTTTACTTGCCTATAATACACTGTGTAAAATAGTTTATGATAATAATTTGGAATGTAAAATAAAATAATATGTACTAGAAAACAACGTTTATTAAGGGATTAATTACAAATGAATAATAAGACTACTTTTAATGAGAAATTCGAGCTTGATGTTTTTTAATAATTTAATTTATATTTGGTCGTAAAAATGACAATGCTACTCTCATATCGTCATCTACATTTAACAGTCTCGATCTTTTTTTCGTTTTTATGTTGGTTAGTACTGAAAATCCGAATTCACTCAAATAAGATGTAGAAAATTGTAATAATATTTTTAAAGCTTTTTTGGCTATCATAGGATAATCGCATCTAATGTTAATCCAAAATGAATTGATTCTTCCGAATATTTTAAAATTAAATCTCGATTGTTAGAAAGCGAAATTAGTTCTTCCTCTTCATTCAAATACAGAAGTATTCATTATCACAAATGGATAACGAACCCAATCAAATCTAAATTTGGGAAATAATGACTAATTCTCTCCTCTAATGTTGTCAAATGGTCAATAACAATTTTATGAACAGTTTTATTAAAATCTTTTGGGACTGGCTCAAACTTTTCCAAATACCCTTCCTGAGCTTTATTCTTCCATAAAGTTAATTTGTTTTTGGAATCCTACCAGTTTATCTGTTGAGTTTAATATATTTTCTTTCGGCCCTTGCATACTTGAATTTATGTTAATAACAAAAATGTCTGATAAGTAAGCTAGCTTAGCACACAGTATTTTATCTTCCAACAAAATCATAATTTTTATTTTGTTCAAAAAACATTTTCATTTCGTCTTTTAATTCCAGTACATTATAATTTTAAGTATTATAATAGCAAGTAAAAATTATAAATAGCAGATAGTAAAAATTATAAAGCATTATAATTTTTGCTATATACATTTCTAAAATTTTGCGGCACACAAAAGTGTCGCGGCACAGTGGTTGAGAATCACTGTTCTAGAAAAATAAGAGCAACAAAATATGATCCGTTAGTTAAATTATCTCATAGGAACTGTAGGGCAGATTTTATTCCATTTTGGCATTGAAAATTAAGTAATAAAAAAGAAGAAAATAGTTTTTTCACGGTATTTTTTCTTAAAAAAAAAAATTAACAAATCGCATTTTTGCTGGAATAGTAGAGTGCGTAGCGGAAAATTCTAAGCAAGCATAATGAAAAAGTCATCTTTGAACTTTTATTAAGCAAGGAAAAAAAAAAAACTTAACTAAAGCATCACATAACTTTTTAAAAAGAAACCTAATCCATGAGAGTATTCTACTTTCCACAACATAAAACATAACAGCTATAGTCGCTCTATACATTCATATATATTAATATATTTAATTTTGATCTTATATATACCAGCATGTATTTAACATCCAATCAATAAAACATTTGCAAAACGAGAGTGAAAGAAAACGTAATAATTGCTGTTGTTGTTCATTTACATCGCACAATGGGCTATTGGCGAAAGTCCCTGAGGATGATCCGAAGATTTTGACCCTCTGCAGAGGGGATGGCACTTCCACTTCGGTAGCCCGACGATCTGCACGTAAAATCGAGCACTTTATACGGTAGAACAGCTTAACGAGGACCAATACCGCACACCCTCGGCCCGTACGCAGACTGATCCAAGTGATTACTCAACCACAGCCAGTGATGCTTGACTTCGGTGAGAAAACGTAATAATACACTTACAATAAACATGCAAATTTATCTTTAAATTACTTTTAAATGTTAAAATAAACTTTAAAATAAAGAAATGAGAAATCCAGAGAAGAACGATAAAAAAAACACCCTTTTCTGAGAGCTTAATAACTTAAACTTCCCCTTCTGAATCAATTAAGTCTTTCTTTCTCTTCCAGTGGTGTTTCAAACTTGTGACTTCTGACTCGAACCTTGTTTCTTAGAATTCGTAGTCTGGCAATTTGTCATGTTAAATTATCATAAGTTCAATGAGTTTTATAAATATGTGTAAGAATTTTAAATACATGCAATTGGTTCCAGAGACAAGTGAACAAATAAAATTAAAATAAAATGTTCTCAGTTTTTTTTGGCTTGACTTTTGAAACCCTATCTTGAGGGACGAAAATTCTAATCCAATCAGAGGGCTCTATTTAAAAAAAAAAAAAAAAATCACAAAGAGTTCACAGACAAATTTGGAATTATGAATTGTTCTGCTTCTAAATGAGAATCAAATAATTATTCACACAAATTAATCTTTCTCTTTACTTCTCTAGAAAAACCTTCAATTTCAATGAAATCAGATTTTAAGAAAAATCATTATCATAAGAACGTACTAATAAATTAAATACTGTATAAATTCGTCTTTTAAAAAAATCAGGCGATTTGGTAAAGCCTAAAATTAATCAGGTGATTGACCTTATTCAAACTCAAAGCAAATTCCTATTTTATAAATATTTGCCTCAATTAATAATGTTATTAATTTCAATAACAATCATTAAGATTTGGTGTTAACCAATATTGCTATCTAAATACTTAATATTATACTAGATTATTGAGGACAAAAATAAACGAGATACTTCTCAAATTTAAAAGTATGGAGTAGATACATTTTTTAAGAAATGATTGAAAAATACCTTTTTTTTTTAAGAATAGGTACTAAGGTTTGCACTTTTGATACAATTTAATCTTAAAATCTAGATTTCTGGTCAAAAAATAAGCATTTTTGTGAATGATGTGTAAAGGGTATTGTGCCTACAGGAAAAATTACAACAGTAGTTGCATTTGAGAGCAATTTTATTGTTGAAGTTACAGTTAATTACCAGAAAAGTAAACTCAACTTAATAGAAATGTAACAATTATAAGAAAAATTTTCTGCGGCTAGTTTCCATTTCATGTCGTTTTAAGATCCACTCATATTCTCCAAATTTAGTATCAAAAGTATTTTTCTGTAAACTTCGGAGCCGTAGAGTAAACCTTGGTCCTATTTCCTGAAGTGCTACTTTTGATTCACTTTTAAATTCATAACGGTGATGACGAACAAAAATGTAATCACGTTGGTTGTGAAAGGTCACCACTCTTCTTCCATGAAAATCCGGATTAAACTGAAAAAGTGATGTGAACAAACGACCAATGGAGTGTCCCAATCGAGTGCGAAAATTGTTCATAACAATCTCTGGCTTGTGAGAAGTGTACTCAGCACGATTTTTTATTTTCTTACAGTATTTTACACTGCTTATTCTGAAAAAAGCTGTCGGACCTTCGGGTAGGTGAATAACTACCATCCCTGTCGGATGTCTCCTGTCTTCAGTAACTACAACTATATTTGTGAAATTTCTTCTTTTAGCTTCTTCAACTAGTTTTTTCAAACTGCAACGCCTGCGATAACGAAAAATTGAATCCTGGATGAGCAATTTGAGTTCTCGGCAGAATCTAATAGTCCAAGTGTGAGGGTTTTCACTGCAGGTTATGAGGACTTTGGGTGGTTCTTTCTTTTCATAATATGAAGCGAATTCATCTATGTTTTGGTCAATTTGGACCTCTTGATCTTCTGGATCAACCATAGTTTCATCTGGCTCTCGAGTGTTCTCCAGGGTTCTAGGTACTTGCTTTGGAACATCTTCACCCGCTTCTCTGGCCTTTCGGATTTGCTTTTTCTTAGCTTTTTTAAATTTCAACTTCTCTTTCTTTAGTTTAAGATACTCCTCTAAGCGGCGTTGCTTATTCTTTATTTCAGATATGTTCCGATCTGTAAAATAATAAAATAAATTTAAAACAAATGCAATGACTTCCCAAACAGTGTTCTCCCCTAAGCATTTTTTGAAGGGCAGCATGCCCTGCGATTCCAATAAATGGATTCTCTTTGCCATTTTTCGAAAAAAAAAAAGCCAACATCCCTTAAAAACACTGCCTTTTTATTCAGATTCCATTTTGAAAAAAAAAATTCACTGTTTAAATAATAATTACACGTTGGCAAAATTATCTGCGTTCATAGGTTTAACACACATTAGGATTATCTTCAACTGCTTAAATTTTTATTTTTCTGGATTTCTTTTTTTCGGGGGAGGGAAGAATATTAATAATTTTTTTATATGATTTTAAAACTATTTTTTATAAATACCTTTAAAAAAAATGCACCCTTAAATGCTTATTTTCTCATAATTTTCAGATTAGATTATGGAAAAAAGCTTTAAAGCTGTATGTTAATTAATCATTTTTTGCTAGTTTACTTTTTTAAAAAGCTTAAGCACAGAGCTTATCTTTTAGCATGTGTTAAATCATTTTTATAAACTACAAATCTTTCTAATATTTTGATAATGGGAGAGAATTACTTTTTTAAACATACTCATAAAATAGTACGAGAGGGAAATTTAAAAATTTTTGAGAATAAAATTCAGCTATTACGCAACATTATACATTTCGATAAATATTTATGATGTTAAGTGAGTGCCCTTTCAAAACTCAAAATGCCCTTTTCAGAGAGGAAACGCTCTGCCCTTTTTTATTCCTAGGGTGAACTCTGTTCCCAAATAATATGAATTATAGAAATAATTTCTCATTCTGAATTTAATATGTATACCATTTACACATTTAAAGAGTTTATACAAACAAAGTAAGTTCGAGAAAATAATAAAGTAAATTCGAGATATAATAAAATGTAATGTAGTAGGCCTATACTCATGTGGTTTTTAATGAAAATTAATTTCAAAAAATTGCATAGGAAAAAAAAAATTAAAAGAAAACTATTTATGATAAATCAGGTACAAATAAAGTGTGCTTAAAATGTCATTTGCTTCAAATAAAAATTCGCATGTCATAATCTTATTAAAAATATTAACAATTAAGGATTATGTGGAAATCTGACGCAATTACCACTGAAAGAATTCACAATGAAATTTTCAAACATTGAGCTCAAATCAAGAAATGATATCAGAAGCTCATTATTCAAAATTTCAGACTTATTTTTATCAAAAAAAATAAAATTAATAAATAATAATAATAGTTTTTCTTTGCTCTAAAATAAGGTGCTACTGTGGGCCACAAATTGAGAGTAGGTGAGCCGCAAATTGTTCATCCATCCTAAGAGCAGAGTTGGCAGAAATCGTGACTTTTTGTTTTATTAAAAAAAGGAATTTTTTAATTTTTAGATTTACTAGCCAAATTATTGTGTAAAATGTACTGAGAATACCTGTTATTATTTAATAACAATGATATAGCTAAAAGTTGATTAAAATTATTATAATATAATTATTATTTTGTTCAAACTAAACATCTTAAAATTTTAAAGAGAGGGAGGTGAATCATCAATTAGATACCTATCCAATGAAAAGTAAATTAGTATATATATATATATATGTAACATAAAAAGCTTTTATTAATCTTTTTATGTTAGTTTCTTTGCTATGAAACAACTCCTACTTTATTCCTAATTAATTATTCTATTCCAAATTCTTTCTCACACTTTTAAAAGCCACATCCTGTTCTTAAATCTATTTTTGGCTCAACTATGCATTTAATTAAGAGCAGGACATATCTCCCTATGCTCTGTGTGGGAAACGCTAGATTTCTTTCATAAACCAATAGTAATCCTTATCACTTCCCTTTTCCCCTCAAATATAACAAAATAGAGGGAAATTCCTTTGCTACTTTCCCTAAGATAAAAACTTAAGCACACAGTTTTTGAGTGCGATTTTGAGNTGGTATAATGAAAAGGTAAATATTTTTTAAGGTTCAATGCATCATGGGCAGTGGCACTTGACCTTAAAAAAATATTGATGTAGGACATACCGAGCAGTGATACTCAACATGACCAAGTATATATTTTAGCCGTTTATTGCAGTAACATATATACATTCTGTTGCTGGGTAAAAACTAACAAGATTAAACTGCAATTATAAAGTTAAAAAAAAATATTTATTTTAAAATCACTATTTTTATTTATATAATATCCTTCCTTCCACCAGAAAAAGAGAAACTTATAAAAATTGAATCAGTTTGGAATAATCCTGACAAAATAAATATTGTATTAGTAAATAAGACAATATTTTCGACTTTATGCTAAAATTTTTTATTTAAATTTAAGATTTTGTAAAAAATCAAGTGCTTTAAACCATGTCAACTCTGCCTTACAGTAAATCAAACCTTCTCTTACAGATTGTCCAAAAAAGATTGTTCATCATAAATACTAATTCAGTTTCCAGGTGACAATTTTCTGATTTTGAATTATAATACAAATAAATATCCATGAAATGAGAACTAATTAAACATATCTTATAGACAGGCCCGTAGCCAGGGGGNCGTAGCCAGGGGGGGGGGGGCAGTCCGGACAACCCCCCTGAAATTCTGCGATTCCAACTTTTTAGTCTTTCTTTGAGCCTCTCAGTAAAAAGAAAAACAAAAATTGTCGAATGAAACCTTTTATTAACTAACTTCATTAAGCATATTTCGGGATATTCTGGTTTGTCCTAAGAAAGTAAAATTTTCTTCAAATCCCCGTCGCATGTCTTTGTAAACTTTGTTTACAAATTGATTATAATTATTATGTAATATTAATTGCAAAATAATTATTACGTAATATTTTTTAATTACTAGTTTAGCTTTGGCAAACAACAGAATAAACAATATTTGTTACAATGTTTTCCTCCTACTTTGCATGTCTGAAACTGTCCTTGCTTCTTACCATATCCCCCCCCCAAAAAAAAATATCCTGGCTACGGTCTTGCTTATAGATATTATTTATTTTCTTAAATTAAAATGAAGAATTGCCTAATTTTTATTTAGGACAAGGGAAAATATATAAAATATTATTTGCTCAACATAAGCTTTAAGAGAAATAATATTGATCTTTCCAGTACAACATTTAAGAGAGGCATACTACATTCTTTGTTCAAACAAACCTTTTCTAAGACTAAAGATTAATACTTTAAATAACGATTACACACAATACAGAATATGGGCAAAATATGGTTCATGAGCCCTTTAGTTGGCCCTAAACAATAATAAATACAATTAATGAAATAAGATTTTTCGGCATAACAGTCCAATCTTCTGAGACTGTTCATCAAAGTTAGAAAAGATCTTTTTCTATTCTTGAATAAAATACTTTAAAGTATGAAATTTACTTTCATTTCATTGATTATTCTGCTTTATAGTTTCGGTGTAAAGGTAAAAATGTTTCTTCGCTTTTGACGTTTTTTACCTGATTTTTCAAGATGGAAAGGTAATGTCTTACATAGTTGTACAAAAAAGCATTTCCAAATTGAAAATAATTTTCATAAATCAAAAAATTTAATAATCGCATTAATCTAATACTTTAATTGCATCGTACGAATAAATTTCTTTTTATAACAATTTAGCAGTCATGCACTGTACAGATTCTTTGTAATGTTTGCATTAAAAGAGAAAAATTCTTACTTGGGATCAACTTTAACTCAGTGTTTTCCATTGTTATAAGCTAACAAACAAATAATTTGTTAAAATTTTAATACGCAATGAATTCAAGTCAACAACGTGACAAAATCTTTTTGTAAATAAACCAAATGCAAAAGAAGGAGGGGCATAAATATGAACCATTTGTTTAATAAAAAGTTTAGCTTGTAGCTTTAAAATGAAATAAATATCCCGAATCTACGGGTAGTTAAGGAGCTTTTTTTTAATTAATCATTGCAGTTGAGTAAATATGTTAAAAGTATAGCTCCTTTATGCCAGAAAATTAATATTTATTTTTAAGTTTGATTTCGAAACAAATTTTAGTTGTAATAAAGAGATATTTCATTTTGTTTTTATTTTCGAAATCATATGAATTCTGTAATAACTCTCACGTGAATTATGACATGCGACCGTGGCGCTACTTTCTTCTGCTCTTGTCTTTTACGCACCGAAACAAAAATATAATTCAGAATGTAAACAAAAAATAAAACTAATTCTTATTATAATATGAAATTAAATTTGCTTCAATTTACGTTTTTTCATGAACTTGAAATATCCCTGCCAACATGAATGAACCTTTTGATGAGGATATATCATGGAATCTCTTTATTCACCAATATTATTGGGTATATAGTTTTATAATCCGAGACTCCATTTCATTTTTGCCGATAACTGTTGCATTTATATAAAAACTACTTAAATGTTTTTATACATGAATATGTTGAAAATATATCTTTTTCATGCAAATTAAATTTTATTTTTATCTTGGGCATGTTTATAAGTTCGTTTTGTTTATACGATTTTTTGAAGTTAAATGATTATATAATCAGAATTATGTTTTCATATTTATTATAATACTTTTGAACTTGGAGATACAGTGTTTTTAGTCAAGTTGTGCAACCTTTGTGTATGAAATAATCAATAATTTATTTATAATATTTTAATGTTCAAATATTTTTTATTGGACATCAGTAAAAGGATTAAAAGATTTTTAATTTAAATGTTACGTCTTTTATCCCACTACATCTTATTTTACGAGAAATCGTAAATAACATTTATATTTAGGTACTGCTTAAAAGTCTCGTTGTATTTTTGTAAAAAATAACTAAATAATTAAGATTACTTTTCTATTTATGAGTAAAGGAATAAATTTAATTTTCCCCTAAATTTCATAGATGGTTTTCCTGATTGAAAAGGTATTACCACATATAAAAAGCTATGTAAATGATTAAAATATTTGCATAATAAACATATTATGTGCCTATTTAAGATACTGAATTTAGAGACTGATTTGGAAAGACTAGAATTTGACTTGGAAAGACTAGAATTTGACTTTCTTATATTATGAACCTCACTGTCAGAATTTTTTGCATAAAATATACTTTTTCCTGCCTGAAAATCTCTTAATTTGGAACTTAAATTTTTCCAATGTAATAATTATAGGTAGATATTTCTAATTTTTCATTTTCATTTAATATTTTTCAATATTTATGTACAATTTTCTGAATTGATGTAGGAAAAGTATAAACAGAGTTCCTAGGAATAAAAAAGGGCAGGGTGCTTCCTTTCTGAAAGGAGTGCATTGAGTTTTGAAAGGGTACTCACTTAACTCAGCAAAAATTTATCAAAATGTGTAATCTTATGTAAAAATGGACTTTGATCTTCAACAATTTTTAAATTATCCCCTTATACTATTTTATGTGTATATTTCAAAAACTAGTTCTTACTCATGATCAAAATCAGGAAAAGTTTGTTGCTTATAGAAAAATAATTAAAGGCAGCTAAAGGACAATCTCTGTAAATAAAAAAAGTAAACTAAAAAAAAAAAAAAAAATAGATAATTAATAATGAATATTTTAAGAAAACAAAAATTTAAAGGTGCATTTTTTAAAAAAAAATATTTATTTTAAAATCACTATTTTTATTTATATAATATCCTTCCTTCCACCAGAAAAAGAGAAACTTATAAAAATTGAATCAGTTTGGAATAATCCTGACAAAATAAATANCAAAAATTTAAAGGTGCATTTTTTAAGAAAAAAAATATTTATTTTAAAATCACTATTTTTATTTATATAATATCCTTCCTTCCACCAGAAAAAGAGAAACTTATAAAAATTGAATCAGTTTGGAATAATCCTGACAAAATAAATATTGTATTAGTAATCAGAACTAAGCCAATAAAGACAGATAATTTTATCTGTGTGTAACTATTATTTAAACAGGGAATTCATTTTTTTAAAAATGGAATAGGAGTAAAAAGACATTGTTTTAAAGAGATATTAGCTTATTTTTATAAAAAGGGCATAGAGGACACATTTATAAAGATCAAAGAGTCAAGGCAGGCCATCCTTTTAAATACACTGTGAGACATTTCTCTTTCGGTTCATTACTGAAATCCTCTTAATGATGACCATGGACTTGCTGATATAGCTTATTTATTTCATGACTCTGGGTTATATAATTATTTACAATAAGTTAAAAAAATATACACGAACTGTAGAATATAATATTCCGAAGCGCTGCTGCTCCATTCTCGTTCATACTTTCTCTCTCATAGTCCAGCTAATACTCAACTCTTCTACGTTCAAACTAATACTGACTAAAAATCCTCTTTCTCACTAGAAAAAGTCCTTCGCTCCACCCCCAATGTAGGGGACGACACTTCCAATGTCCTTCACCCTCTGACCCTCAGGCAGTGTTTTCACTACAGCTCGAGAACGCGAGAATCTCGCATACTTTTTTCTTTTCTCGCATTAAAAAATGATTACCGCGAGAAATTCGCGCATTCTATAAATCAATTTCAAAATTCGCGAATTTCTTGCATTTTGGAAAAAGCTTTGAATTACGCCATTTAGAAAAAAATCCGTTTCACTTTTCTTCATAAATCTTTCATTATTTCATCATCTGCCCCATTATCTAGCTTCCCTATTCACCAGTATTGTTTAGAACCTTTTCGAACAACAGAGCACAACCACAGAACCCCTTTCAGAGCACATTTCTCTACAACCACGTGTTCACCGTAGGTAAGGTTTCTTCATGTGAGTTGTAAGACGTTCAAATTTTTTATGCACTTGCGTGAGATGGACAAATACCTTGTAAAAGCAAAATCTTCTATGATGATGCACCAAAAATATTCAATGATTTAAAAAATANTCTGGAAGGAAGGCCAGGAGCATATGATTTCGAGAATAATCCACAACTTCAGGTACATTTTAATCATTTTCGCTCTTGTGAGACATTTCTCTTTCGGTTCGTTTACTGAAATCCTCTTAATGATGACCATGGACTTGCTGATATAGCTTATTTATTTCATGACTCTGGGTTATATAATTATTTACAATAAATTACAAAAATATACTCGAACTGTAGAATATAATATTCCGGAGCGCTGCTGCTCCCTTCTCGTTCATACTTTCTCTCTCATATTCCAGCTAATACTCAACTCTTCTACGTTCAAACTAATACTGACTAAAAATCCTCTTTCTCACAAGAAAAAGTCCTTCGCTCCACCCCCAATGTAAGGGACGACACTTCCAATGTCCTTCACCCTCTGACCCTCAGGTCAAGGGGTCAATCAAATGCGTGGGAGTGGAATCAGGATCCTGACATACGCCTAAGGAGAACACTAGCATAAATACAGTGAATCACTTAGTTATTTCTCTAACAATTGAGCTAATTTTTAACAATTGGAATATAAACTTTAAATAGTCATAAATTATGTTTCCTGAAATAATTTTAAAAAGATTTAATAATTAACTTTCACTACTCTTTGTCCTTTAAATTAGTCAGGTTAAAAAAAAAAATTTGATTATTTTTTAAAAAAAGGCCTAATTTTTAAATGTTGTAGAAAAAAAGTTTCATACACTCATATCCGTAAATTAAAGATATTAAAATCATGGATAATTCAGATTCTATACGGCAAAAGGAACTCCAAAGTAAAAATTTCACCAGTAGAATTATCACATACATCTTCAAGAATAATATGGAAATTGCAAGAAGCCACCATATGATGTCGATAGTGCACCACAATGAGAAGATTGTATGAGAGGGGTAGAAGTAAAATTGTTCATATGCATTGTACAAGTGGCTCAGTGCCATAACCAAATAATAATGAGACAGATGTATTTGAATGATTTTTTTTCACAATAGAATTATTTCCCCCTGGAATGTGGGGCATATTTAGATGTAAGTATCTAAGAAACTTGTAATTGGAGAACATTACTAGCTGAGTTGAATAATCTTTCCCAAGATTAGTTCAATAATTTGATACTCGGCATGTCTCACTGTTTTACAGACTGTATTTCATTCCATGGGAGATATGCAATGTATTAACCTTCATCATTATAATATTAATTCTTTGTAAAGGAGATATTTTTTTATCAATTCTGCAGGGAGCGAAAATTGTAGTTTTTATGAATGGTATCATACATAACACCATTATTTTCATTCTTTATCTTTTGTTTAATAAATGAGCTGTATGAAGAAGTCACATTGTATAAGCTGAACTATAAGCTCTTATTCTTAATTTATGAACACGAGTGTATTTTGTCTGCTGTGTTAACTGCACAACCAATATTTGTAAGTTGCTGTGGAACATTATTTAAATATCTTAAAAACATGGGCAATGTGTTATTTATAAGTATATGTATGTATATTTGTATATGTAAGTATGTATATGTATGTATATATATATGTGTATAGATATGTATGTATATCATATGTATATTTTTTTAAATTGAAGTAAAATTCAATAAAGCCTGTCCTCCATCATCAGAATTAGGGCAGCTGGTGCTATAAATTTACCTTCACCATGCAGACAAAAATTAGTAAATACATATCTATAATCATGGGCTCTACAGATTAATCTTAAATTTTTACATTGGGTTGCAGATCCATATAGAGGTTTATGCTAGTGGGGTATCTCTATAACAATTTATTGATTATTTCCAGTTGAAAAATTCTCTGTAGGGAATTAATTTTCTTCATGAATGTTAGAGAATTTTGCAGTTATAATTATTGCAAATGGTGGGTTATGTTCAGAAGTATATAATTTTGACTTTTAAAAAAATAAAGTAATGCTTATTATGAAGGAATGTTTGAAAGGAGAACTAACTCTTGCGGATAAAATTTTATTGTTATACATTATTGCTGAAATAGTGTAAGAAGTTCCAGAAATAGGATGTGAAAGCGATTAAGCTGCAAATAAATTTTAAGTTTAAGTAGCAATTGCTTCAAAAATGACAAAATCTGAAAAGATAAACCTGTGAAAAATTACAAAAATGACGAAAATGAAAAAAGTTGCATCTGAAAAATTTGTTATTTGGTGACAACCACTTATATACATTTTGAATGTTTTTTAAGATTTTAATTAAAAACTATNTATTTCAGCAGAACATGAGAATGAGTTGGCTGATTGCCTACAATGTATGGCACGATGCAAAGATTTTTGGAAAGTTTAAAGTGTTTATCTTTCTTGCTTTTAAATAAATTGTTTTATTAGCTGCTTAAACATTTTTGTTTATTTGTGTGATCTTGATGTCTTATTTGTTAATTACTATTATATAATTATTTTTAACCACCCCTTTACAATAAAAGCTGGTGATCAGTAATTACCTCAGAAATGATCAAGACCAGGGGTAATTCCTGATCACTAAAAATTTAAAATTTTTTAAGTTCTAATTAGATTTTCAAACAAAAGAAGGTGGCATAGGACTCGTCTCATATAGCCTCAAACTTCCAATAAATATTAAAATTTTATCTTGAATAGTTTTTCACAGAATAGATGTTTGCATTTTTTGATCAGGAATTACCCCAGGTCACCCTATATTATAGATAGAAATTTGCTGTATGGGGATTTAGTATTAGCGAGACTACTCATGATTTTTATTTGCAGTCAACTTGAGTTTACACATATCAACTAATTTGTATATTTTTAAGAGAATAATAAAATGATATTTCAGGTAAATTTAGGTAGGATATTTTATAATTATGAACTCATTGAAAAAAATTACAAAAAACTATAAATATTGTCAGCAGACTTTTTTTTTACTCTGTGTACCCATCTCTTATACTTATTCGGGATCCTGTTAAAAAATAAAAAAAACTAACAATTTCCAGGATTGTGCTTAAAATAATGTAGAAATTGAATGTAGTTTCTATTTTTGTTTTCAGGCCTTTGTTCTAATTGTGGTGCTAGCATTATTCGTTTTGTGCCTGCTTTTATGGTATATGAGACGCTGTAGGTAAGTAAAAAATGTTTCTAAGAAATCTTATTTCTTAACTATTTTTTCAACAATTTCTTTTTTTATGAAAGTCTTTATCATCAATATTTTTTCCCATTTATTTAAATTTATCTTACTTATTGCACATATTGCTTTAACTATGTATTTGTTTGTAGTATCATACTGAATTAGTTAATTTTTCTTGAGATGTTGCTTTTATTACTTTATTTTACAAACACAATAGAACCTCAATTATCTAAACTAGGGGTGAACAACCTGCAGCCAATGGGCTACATGCGGCCCACGGCAACAACTGAACAAAATAAAAAAATTATTTACTGTATAATAAAGGAAAAGCAATAAAAATGAATTTGACACAATATTATTTTAATATTTTTCTTTAGCTTTTTTATAAAAATACTTCTGTAGTTCTTTATAAAAAGTATTTTAAATGAATTTTTTTTTAATGTTAGAATTTTTTTGTGAGACAAATATTAAACATAAAAGAAAGCAATAAAAATAAATTTTAAGCAGTATTGTTTAAACATTTTTCTTAAGCTTTCTTAAAAAAAATATTTCGGTAGTTTTTTATAGAAAGCACAATTTTTTTTAATGTTCAAATATTATTTTTTTAATGTTTGAATTTTTCTTGTGAAACAAATATTAATTAAAAAAAAAGTATTAAACAATATTGTTTAAGCATTTTTCCTTAGCTTTTTTTATAAAAATTAATGTTTCTATAGCTCTTTATAAAAGGCAAAATTTTTTTTTTGAAAAGATGTTCGAATGTTTTTTCCTGAAACAAATATTAATTAAATAAAAAATAAAATACATTTTAAACAATATTGTTTAAATATTTTTCTTTTTCTTTGATTTTTTTATTTCATAAAATTAATGTTTTTGTTGCTCTTTATAAAAAACATTTTGAATTGAATTATTTTTCCTTATTATGTTTGGATCTTCTTAAACAAATAGTAAATACAAAAAAGCAATAAGTAAATAAATTTTAAACAACATTGTTTAAATACTTTTCTTTAACTTTTTATTAAAATTAATGTTCCTGTAGCTCTTTATAGAAGGGATTTTGAATTAAAATTTTTTTAATGTTTTAATTTTTCTTTGTGAAACAAATATTCAATATAAAAAAAAAGCAATGAATTTTTTTTAAAAATTTATATTGTTTAAAGCATTTTTTGTTTTTATATAAAATTTATTTTTTACTTAATCTCTTTGTTTCACCTTTTTAACTTTATTATTGCATATTATGCATAAAGGGAATGTTTCAATTTATCATTACAAAAAGATTGTATTCAGAAACATTTAGTAAATTGCTTTTTTCATTCAATTGAGAAAGTTTTCTTTTTTATGGGCATCTTCCTTATATGAGAGATTAAAAAAAAATCTTTTGACACTTCATAAACTCTGAAGCCATAAAATTTCATACACAGAGAAAAAGCAGGTTTTCCTGCTACAACAACTCTTACTGTTAATTTTTTTTTATTTATGTTACACAAGGTTTCTGCTTTTGTTAGGTTTCCCTATTTATCAGTCTAGTGTTCATTATTTGTGCCCATCACATAAATACAGTTGCAACTATTTATTGATCCCATCATTTTAAGGCTAGACTCCTGGCTTATTTATTTCATAACATGAATTTGTACTATATTCATTTTCGTAAGAAACAAGCAAAAGATAATATTCAGCCTCTTGAAAAACCTAAACCTGTAGTTCAACGAACTGGAAAGTTCAAAACAACCAAGAATTCATGTGACATTCATCAGTTAGCAATCGAACATGCACTTGCATATTTCAACAAGCCGTGGGATTATTATTTGAAAGAAGAAGCACTTAAAGAAAAGAATGCAAAAAGGGATACCCAGTTGTATTATGATGAGGTTGGATACCATTCTAACAAAGAAGTCAACTTCAATGTTTCTTTGCCTTATGATAGAAATCAAATTGCTACTGAAGATAGTTCGTTATTTTCAAAAAGTAAAGTGAAGTCAAATTTGCTTCTTGCTTTTCATAAAAAAAATTACAAGAGTGTAGCCTTTGAAACTTCTTCTCTGAATAAGTACAGGTTATTAAAATACTTTGTATATATAATTTTTTTTAATGTATGTATTTAAAAATATTTAATTCTGATAAGTTTTTTTTGTAGTTTTAGATTGAAATATTTTTTAAATGCATTGTTTGAAGTTTCAAGTCTGTGTATATAGGAGAAATTTCATAGTTAAATATATAGAAATTAAAGTAATCATGTTAAACAGATAGATCTTTAGCAAAACACTTATTTTTTTCATATGAAATTTAGAAATTTTTTTTTAGGAAGGGAGAAGTTATATATACGGGGTATATAACTTATATATAAGTTATACTGGAAGATATATATGGTTAAAGGGAATATTTAAAGTTTAATGATTAACGAACAATATATTTGGTTTTAATTCTTAATAGATGTGCAGATTAATTAGAAAAGACTTTTGTTAACAATTTCTTTCAATATTTTTGATAAATATGCTTAATTTTCACATTGGGCTTTTTCTGTAAAATCATTAGTTATTCTCTATAAGTTACAATCGTAAAACATTATTCTCTATAAGTTACAATCGTAAAACAATGGTTGTATATTTACTTTATATTTTAGTAGAACATTTAGGTTCTTTAGTATTAGTTATTGTTTGATATGGCATATTGTTTCTTTTCTTCATTGCACAAACAGTTATAATAATATAAATTTAAAAAAAAAAAGTATTCTGTTTTATTAGACAGTGCTAATTTCTTAATGAAAACTCTCAATAGCATATAGAAATTTATTTTACCCAGATTTTACTTTTTCAGTTTCTTGGTTTCGATATTTTTTATTATTTTTGTATTTTTTTTCTTTGATTTTGCTTATACATTTGCCTTTATTGCATTTTATAGCATTTATGCTTTATCTTGATGGAGCATTGTTTTTCATGCTCAAAATATATGAACTCTAATTTAACATTTATAAAGTGTTAAAGTTGTTTCATTGTTAATAAAAAGTTACAAATATATTTGAATTTTATCAATAGGTTTTTAGTTTTTAAGATAGATTTTATGTGGTTCTGTGTTAATTATGTGGTTGCATATTAAGTGGTTGTATTTTAATCTTGTTGTTATAATTTAATGAGTGTTAATTCAAAAATGCACCCTCTTAACTTATAGATTAGATTTTATTTAATTTATGAAGTGAAGTTATATCGATTGATTAATCATTAATAAAAAATAAAGATATTTTTTAAAAAAAATTTTTTGATAAGTTTTTAGCATAATTTATAGATAGATTTTATGCTGTTTTTAATTAATTATTAGCAATTTGGATGGTTTTATAAATGCATTTAATATTTACCAAATACTTACCTATATGCATATATTGAATCAAAAGCAATAATGCAAGATATAAATTAGGTTTCATAAAATTGTTTTTAGTTTTTACACAACTTCAAAAGTTTGGTTTTAAGTAAGTTTGCATCGATTTGAAATTTTTTTCTCTATTTTTCTTTTTTTCATAAAGCTGTAAGCTCATGGTTAAGTCAGACATAGTTCTGCACAGACAATTCTTATAGAAATAAGTTTGACTATTGATAACGTCAAAACAATTAACAATATCATTTGTTTGTTATACAAATGGCTGAGGAAAGTTAAATTTAGTGCTAAAAATGTTCATGAATTTTTTTTATTTAGCTTGTTTAAAACCCTTTGTGATTTAGATATTTAACAAATTAAAAAAAAAATTAGAATTTTTTTAAGTGCTAACAAAGGAATTAAAAATAATTTTTGATTCATTTTTCCTTCGGCAGAAGAGAGCCCAGATATGAGTATACAGCATTGGCAGATGAAAACATTTTGCATGATCGATTGGAAATGGATCGGAAGATGCAAAAAGATTCCGATAGGAGTAAGTGCTTTTTTTTTTGTTTGTTAATTTCTCTTTCTGCAGGTTTTGTTATACTCCTAATTTTTTAAAGATAATAATTCGTTTTTTACTATAACTTTTTAAAATGCCTACAAAAACTACAATGAATCTTGAATTTAATGAGCACTTGTCTATAGTGAACTTTTTTAGTGGTTCCTTGCTGGACTCCTATTTAAGTAAAGATAATTTCTTTGCTTTTAGTGAACATTTGAAAATTGGTAATTTGTTTATACTGGACTCTTAATTTAATTTCTTCAATTATTTTTCATTTCTTTAACCCAAATTTGCGTGAGTTGTGATTGCAAATGATGGCATTGTTTTACATTATATCAAAAAATGTCTTTTACATGCACTTCACTAATAAACTGGGGTAAGTTGTTGAGCTGCACATCTCTCTTTTTACCCTTTCCTCCTTGCATTGAAGAAGAACTTTTGGTAACTTTTATCTTGTAAGTTATCTTGGGCAGAAAAAAAAAACACTTTTCAATTGTGATTTTCTTTCTGTCTTTATCATAAAGATAAGTTTAAATTTTAAGTGATATAATTGTTCACTATCACTGAAATTTGTCATAAATTATTTTGTTTGTGAAATCAACTTATGTATTGTATTAACATAATTTGTCATGTCCTTATTATTTACCTAGTTTGTTAATATTATTTTAGACATGTCAACTATTCGCTGTCAATATTATTTAAGAGGATCAACTCGTTATGTGTTTCTTCGACATTTGCCAGACATGGGTATGTGTTAGATTTTTTTCATTTTACACAAATACTTTAATTATTCATGAGGTGTATGCTGTATTTTGCTCTTATTTAACTTCAATTCCTTTTGTTACCATAAGTAACTAATGTACAGTTTCTTGTCTAATAAAACATATATTACCTTGATGTATCTTTAAGTTTTATTTCCTCATAACTTTTGATTAAGGACACAACAAAATATATTTATTATGAATTTGTTAAATGCTTTACAAAATAGGTTTGTGTGCATAATTATTGCTGTGATTCATTTTATTTAATACATATTTACATGCTGATTTGTGTTGATTAGATAAAGATGCTCTTTTGGTAGTCTTATGATACATACAACACATTGCAGCAGAATTAAAATTTTTTCTAATGATTTATGCTTAATTTAAGTGTAAAATAAAAAATATGTTAAACAAAATATGTTTTTTCATGTTGATTTGAGAAATACTGGCGAGGTTACAAAGTTTTTCATATTCTATAATGCAAAGTTCTGATGCTTGATTGCTATGTTCTGCACCCTAATTATTTTACATTACAAGCCTAATTTTTTTTAATACTCCGTTAGTTATATTTTATCTTTACAGTAATTAAGTTTCTCATTTCAGTCTAAAATTTTAAGAGTTTAATATTAAAATAAAATAGTTGATATTCAAAATTATACAGGATGCTATATGAGAATATATGGTCTATTATTAATACTGGACCATGTTGAGATAATTAAGGTTATTAAATGGTAGGTGAATGGCACTAAATTTTAAGCAATAATTAATTTAATTTTTTATTAATACTCATTAATAAGATATATAGAGCATAATTAAAGAAAATGGAGATCATACTGCAAAAATAACTTGTGTGGAAATTTCATGCAATTTTTTTAAATTTAATTTGTCTCTTGTTATTCTATTCACTTTTGATTTCTGAATTAAAGTAGTATCAAAAGCAATATATATTTTTTTAATGATACATACAAATTGAAATGATGAAAAACATGGAATATGGAGGTGCCTAAGCTGAAGTTATTTTACTTACCTGCTTATTGAAAATTTATGAATGATTGATCAGCTACTTGTAGCAACTGATTTTAAATTGGACACATCGAAAAAAATTTTACTCAATGTATAGTATGCATTTGTTATAAAATAAAATTGATGTAATTTTGCTTAAAAATTTCTTATTTATTTATTAAAAACAAAAGTAAAATGTTTCTGGTAAATGATTGTTATCAAATTGAAAGTTGCTTTATGAACTTATAGTTGCAGTCAGATAATTGTTTTTTAGGAAGTAGGCTGGACAAAAACTGGTTTCTTGTGCGTGATACTACCACAAGAACTGAACGCTTGCTAACAATGACTCCAATGGCAGAAATTTGCCCTATGAGGTACAATGCTGATACAAGGCAAGTGTTACTGGAGCTCTTCTTAGCTTTGCAGCATCCATATATTTATCCTGTCTTAGATATTGATAGAAGAATTGTTATGGAGCAAGAATATGTTATTGCAGTTATACCCTTTAATGATGAGGGCACATTAAAAGATGTTATACATCAAGTAAGCATGTTGCATGTTAATCTATTAAAATATATTGTCCTTGATAATTATCTAGAAATATAATTCATAATATGCATAAATTGAACTTATTTAGCAGACTTGTTATAGTAAGGGTATTACAAATTAATTTGTATTTTATTGTTGTAAAAATATGCACTGAAATGTTTCGTTATTTTTAAATTAAAGATCTTATTTAATTGTGGGCTATTTTCATTTTGGTTTATTTCAAGATACAGAACCTTAAAATCTAATAAGTGTATTTTTATTTTTTGTTACATAGTTTGATTTGTGATATTCTTTGTCATCAGAAATGAAAAAAAAATTAAATAAAGAAAGAAATGAAGTTAATAACATAGAAATGACTTGTATGAATATAAAAGTGTGGTTGATTTCTTTTGATTAGAACAAAATAATTATGGTTTTGTGTTCTTCTGTTGCTAATAAGTTGACTAAAAGACAATGAATAATAATATGTTTATTTTTATATTTCATTAATTTATTTCAAACAGATGAGAGTAGCTTTATGGTAATTTTCTTAAACTTTTATTAAAATATTATATAAGTGATAATGCGTATATAACCTGTATAATTTTTGAATATGTTAAAGTAACACTCTGATATTGTAGAAAAAGTTGGGTTGTTATTGTTAAATATTTACTTAACTAGAGTTAATTAGTGAAGCTAGACTATTTAAAAAAGGCATTCTACTGTGGATTAAAAAATGTTATGAAATTATATTTAATTTCTAGAATCTTTTTCATAAAAAATATAGGTTTTTACAGCTGTTAAATGTTTTTTATTTTGCTATTTTGTTCTCGAACTGTGTAATTATTTACAAATCATTTTTGATTCAAAAGCTTATTAAAAATGCTTTTCTAAAGCCACTTTTGTTGTATTTAAATTGTTATTAAATCAATTAGTAAGTATCAAATGCTGTGAATAAGTATTGTTTGTATTAAGTATGAGCAATTTTAAAGTGCATACTCTTCTGTGATTCTAATGTGCAATTTTTTCCCCTTAAAGGCAAAAAAAAAAAAAAAAAACTGTAAATAAATAAAATAAAAAATAACTGCTGTGATTAGAAAAAATTATAAATAATAAAATAATTTAATGGTTTTCTTCAAATTTTCTCAAGATAATGCATAATAGGAATAAGATTCAAATTTTTTGTAATATTTAAAATTCTGTGTACTTAAAAATTAGTTTTAAAACAATTGATTGTATTTGAATTAGTAATAAAGTGTCATTTTCAATGTGATATTATTCTTTTCTAAATTAAATTCTTCTTATTCTAGAGTCATTGTCAGGATGACTTTAAAGATAAATATCATTTTCAAGGTTGTGGTCTCAGTTCTGCTCAAATTCAGAGACTTGGTTGCCAGGTGCTTGAGGGTTTATTGTTCCTCAAAGATCAAAGATTCCCACCTTTTTTGCATTTACATTCCGGAAATATCATAATTCAAAATGGAGTCGCTAGGTGAGTACCTATTTTACAGTTGGGTACTTTATAATATTAATCTATATCTGAAGACATTGTTTTATTCGACTAAGATGTTTATCTGAAGTCTAAGTATGTTTTCATTTTATTACCTTTTTCTTTCTTCTGTTAAATCTAAAAACATTTTAATGTGTCAACTTTTTTTATAGTCACTGCAGTTATCATAGTATACATTGTTAATCAGAATAAGAATAAGAATTTGAGATGAAGATGTCAGTTATTTAGAAATATTTTTTTAATTAATTATTGTTTTATTTTTTTTCTTTTAAATTTAGTTTACAATCTTGTCAAGTTTTATCCATTTCATTTAAACCCTCAGTGGACTAATACGGTTCCCAGTAGAACACCAAAATAAAGCATCACTGGCTGCAGTCAGTAAGCGGGTGGGTGACCACTTTGATTAGCCTGTGTAGGGTCCGAGAGTGCACGGTGTCAGTCTTCGTTAAACTGTTCTACCGTAACATGCTTAACTTTGCGCACTGGTCGTCGGACTACTAAAGTCAGGACACAATCTCCTGTTTAGAGGATCAAAATTGCAATGGCAGGTCTTCGGATCATCCTCAGGGATGTTTCCCAGACCGTCGCCAATAGCCCATTGTGCAGCTCTAGTGCGACGTAAATGAACAACAACAACAACAGCAGCTTTAGTGTGACGTAAATAAAGTACCTACCTACCTACCATTTAGTTTAATTTTTTAAGCAGTGGTAAAATGTAATTTTGTTTCAGTGGTTTTTCGCATTTAAAACTATTATTTAGTTTCAACAGAATGTTTTTTTTTTTGTTAACTTTCATAATAATGATTAAAAAGTGTATTTTTAATTAAAATATTTTTGTATCTGTTTAGTACTTAAGCTGTTTTATGTGAAAATTTGCATTGAAAACCACAGCATTAAGCAGCAGTGCAATGTTGAATATCAGCACGAAATAGTTATAATTAGTTTAGCTCTATCATTCTAAATACAATTTTATAATTATATTATTATATTATATTACAGTTTTAAAATTTTATTATCTTTTTGTAGTTTAATTTTATACTAAAATTGTAGTAAAAGGATATGTAATGAATTACATAGTACTCTAGAAAGTGTATTGACTGTTTAATAAATTTCTAAATTTGTATAAATACTGCCATTTCTAGAGTTGTAATTATTTTCATGCTCATTATTAGTTAATTATTTAAAATAAAAAAAAGAGTTTCATTTATAATTTACATATTTAGCTTATAAATTTTACTTTTATAGATATTAGTAACAAGTAGGGAGATTCATCTTAGATTCATTATACTCTTTTTTTAATGTTAGTTTATAAAGCTAGATATATTTAGAACACATAAAAATTGTGTATTAAGTAAATTATGCATAAGCTAATAGCTGTGTATTTTTAATGTAATTTTATTCGATATATGATTTAATGCAATTACACAGTAAAAAGGTTTTTATTTAAATATATTTCACTTAGTTAGATTATATATGTTAACAAACATATTTATTTATTTTTAAAAAGCTTAATTCAAATGATATATATTAATTCATTGTTCATTTTTTGTCCTATGTATTTTCATATCATCAACAGATTTAAAGGTGTATTTTTGTGTTTTTTTCATTTCATAAATCGTATTAAAATTCACATTATATTTTAGAATATCTGGATTAGAGAATACTCTCTTTGGCTATACTTCTCGCACTCATTTATTTATCCCCAAAAGACTTTATGAAAATAAAGAAGCTGTAGAAGTGTTATGTTTTGGTATGTGTCTATTTAAATATTATTTGGTATGTGTCTATTACAACTTTTATATATTTTGTTTTTTCAATTGAAGTCTTGCTTGGATTCAGAATACATATGATGAAAACAAGTATTTTCCTCAGAAACCATTGAACTCTATATGCTATTCTTGTGATCATTACTAAGGTTCATAAACACGAATAAGCATTTTACATTTATTTTGCTGTGTTTATCTTTGTAGTGGCATAATCATTCTCATTACTCTATTTTTATTCTGACTTAGAGTTGCTTTGTAGAGAATTGTAAAAATGTCTAATGCAACCAAGCTTTATACTAATAATAAGTCCTTAACTATTTACATAACCTGTTTACTTACTAGTCAACTCAGCCGTTCCAGAAACTTAATGCTTCCTTGCATACAATTTATATATCCTTAGAATATTTGGAATAGAAAATTTTCAATATTTTTTACACTACTAATTTTTATGCGTGTTTAGTGTTTTTTTTAATATTACTATTATTCAATTAAATCCTATAAATCTTTCATTTTTAAACTAAGTTAGGAAGAAAGATAGTGGAGTTGCTAGATTATTCAAAAGAATTCTAGATTTTTGCCCATTTATTTTAATTTTCTAGTTTAACCAAAAATACTTTTTATTTTTCAATCTTTTAATTAAATAATCTAAAAATGGGCTGTCTAAAAAACTTATTTTCCTAAATATATTTTTTCTTGGCTAATCTTACAGTTGAAAATTCAGGTCACTTATACTTCTAGCCATCAAAATAAAACATCAAATAAATAATAAAAATTTAAAAAAAATTGCTATTTTCTTCATAATAATAAATTTTTAACTTTTTTTTGTTCTTAAAGATTTATTATTTTTTTTAATGTTAATNAAACACTGGGTCACTTATACTTCTAGCCACCAAAATAAAACATCAAATAAATAATAAAAATTTAAAAAAAATTGCTATTTTCTTCATAATAATAAATTTTTAACTTTTTTTTGTTCTTAAAGATTTATTATTTTTTTTAATGTTAATAACTTATATTAATAACATTTTATTAGTTATTTGAATATATTAATTAATTAGTATTTTTAAAATGCTTAATATGCTCATTTTAATTAGTATTGCAAATTTTTAACTATGTGTTGTTTTTTTCATTCAAATGTATAAGTTTCTTGAGTTTTAACAATAATGTTTAAATATATAGAAATTTGAAGTTTTATAACACTGGCAAACAGTTTATAATGTTAAAATACTTTTTTGTTTTATATCAACTATCTTCCACTTTCTGAAATATTTTGTGTTTTAATTCAGATAATTTTTTAACAGGTGATATGAGTGTTTTAAACTTCAAATAGATATAATAATTAAAAATTCTTTTAAAAATGCTGTTGATTGTTTATGTAAATATTATTATAACAGTCCTTATTTTCACCATTTATTATTTTTCTTTTGTTTAGGTCATCTTCTGTTTGAAATGGCTACTGGTTATGAACTTACTTCATCTCATCCTTCTGAAAAGAATTATATGGATTTAGAGGACAAACCTTTAGTTGTAGATGTGAGTCTGATTTTTGAATTTTATCTGCAAACAGTGATTTATATGTCATTTTAGTTTTTTCTTTGAAAGTTTTTAGCCTTTTAAAAATATATTTTTTTAATGATTAATTTTTTAAGGTTTGTATTTCTTATGAAATTTTTGACTTTTGTTGAATTAAAATACTTTGAATTACTGTATAAAATTATTGAATTAATTTTACTTAAAAAGTATTCAAAGCTTTCTTTTCTTGGAACTTTATATAATGACTTTTAATATATTGAAGAATTTTCACGTTTCTTAAGTTTTTCTTTTGATTATTTAATAATTTGTGAGCACATGTGAAATTTACCTAATTCTGGATAATTTCTAGCTTTTGTGTAATTTAATGTACCATGGTATATGTACCATGAACAATTATATATGTACTATGGTAGAATTTTTCTTTACTATGTTAAATCAAATGCAGGATTCTATGTGTTATAGAATATATTTTAGAAATGAATGGTTAACCGACAATGTACTAATTAAAAAGGGAAATTTTCGCAATGTGATCATCAAGTGAATCATCAAACAATTTCCCTTTTCTAATTATAATTTTAATTTTCCTTTTCTTATTATAATTATAATATATTTTAAAAATAAGTGGTTGACCAATTGCTAATTAAAAAAAAAGAAACTTTTTGCATTGTGATAACCAAGAGAATCATCAAACAATTTCCCTTTTTTAATTATAATTATTATATATTTTAAAAAGGAGTGGTTGACCAGCTACAATAAAAAAAGGACATTTTTGCAATGTGATCATTAAGTGATTCATCAAACAAAATCTCTTTACTAATTCCAATTTCCCCAATTCTAATTATAATTATTATATATTTTAAATATAAGTGGTTGACTGATTATCAGTAATATAAAAGGGAAATTTTCGCAATGTGATCATCAAGTGAATCATCAAACAATTTCCCATTTCTAATTATAATTGTAATGTTTCTTGTCAGTAAGCTACTAAAAGCTACGGATAGCATAGCTACAGATAGTTGGGATATAAAGAAACAGATTGTTTTTTCTCTTCATGTCATCTTATCCAACAGATGGAAACAATTCAAGATAGGATTTTTTTCTTAACTATCTTTTTTTTTTTTTTTGCAGTACAAAATGACGCAAAAAAAATTTATAATATTGGTACTGGATTATGGCACAATATTTTAGGAGGTTAAATTTATCTAACTTTTTTATATTAAAAAATAAAATCCAACATTAGAATTGACAAATAATACTGTAGTTAAAATAGCCCACAAATTTCAGTGCCACATTGCAGAAATATCTCAAGTACTCTGTAAAGTACTGAAAAATGTGATGAAATTTATTACAAATGAGCAGTATGAAGTGAATAATTTTAAAAAAACTGAACCAGCCATTAAGAAAGTGAGTCAAAAAATATGAAATACATCAATGGTTCTAATAGTTGAGCGAAAGAAAAGCTAAATGAAAGTTGAAGGTGAAAAGACAAATTTAAGAATCTTAAAATGATTTAATTATTCAATCAAATTAAAATTGGAATATAACAATTTAATTTTAAAGTTTATGAATAGCTAATATCTTTTTTTATGCTATGCTAACTTCTGTAATATACTATTTGTGAATTTTGGCATTGGCTTTTATCTTCTGTTATCATCACAAAATTTTCAATCTACTTTTTAATACACATGAGAAAGCTTTTGATTTATTTTACGTAGTATTTTTAAAGTTATTTAAAAATTTACTCTTAGCTCTAATGATATAGATAAGTAGAAAATGATACTCATTAATTATTTTGACTAGTGCCCATTCAAATGAACTTAATTTTTATGGCAATAATTATTCCTTTAATTGTTGTAAGATCTTTTGAAGTAACAGTAATTTTAGAGTACTTATAAAACCCTATATTATTTTAGGTACTGAAATACATTTTTGAGCAGGGTCGTTATCGGTTTCCTTCTTTGCAACAAGTAAATATATCTATCAGATTTTATTTTACATTTTTAATCCTAATTTCTTGTTAAACAATTAACTCAAAAAATGTTGTTATAGGTTGCAAGTTTAGATTTCTTTCGTCATATTGATTTGCGAGAATTGCGATCCTTGATGCCTGCGGTAAGTACAGCTGTAAAGTCTCAAATGTTTCTTAACTAAAAATTTTAGTAACCATTTAATAACATTTTAAAAGTGTAGTTTTTTTAATACAATTCAAATGCTTGGTAATGAATTTGTAATTATTTGATAGAAAATGCTTTTAAGAAATGATTTTTTAGTTTTGAAATGTAATTTTGCATTCAGCAACTGTAGTAGATCAATATTTTTTTGTTAAATTAATTATTTTGTTTAATTTTTTTGTTAAATTTTTAGTTTTTTGTTGAATTTTACTTTTTTGTTAAATGTTTTGAGTTCCGTCTCTTATTTTTAGACAATATTTAGAAAATAAAATGCTTGCATTCTTTCAAATGATTTTTTAAATAATTGGAACATTTTATTCAAGTATTGCTTTAGCAACAGTGAAGTAAAATTATTTATGCCTGTGATGTTTAACTTTTAATAACGAACACAGAATTATAAAGTATGCTACCTTCTGTAATTATATGAGTAACTGTAGTTTGTAAAATTAATAAACTAAAATAAAAGCACTTAGATATCTTACAGCAGGGTGCTTAGCCAAATTATTCAACAAAAAATAAGCACTTTTCAAGAACTCAAATAATATTTTTAAGCACTTAAAGAAAACAATTAGGTAGGATTGGAAAGTTTTTGACAATTGACGGTTTTATCTGGTTTTAACCGGCATGTCAAAAAAAATTTTTGAAAAAAATGTCGGATTGTTTTTGACAATTGTCAAAATTTTTGAATCATATAAATCGAATGCATTTTCCTACGCTACGGACTGGCAATACGCCGAAATAGATTGGGGTTGAATTAATTGTGAAAACTCTGAATAGAACAATGTGAACAGCGCCTTTCTGCATAATTTGTAGCGAAAATCAACACTTTTCTTATGGTAAAGAAAAAAAAATCTCATTTTGGAAAAGGGAAAATTAAGAACTTTTTAATACACACAATGAAAAAAGCACCTTTAAGGGCTTTTATAAAACGAAAATCAAAAATAAGCACTTGTTAAAAACGCTATACACCCTGTAAAGAAGTTGAATTTACTTTTTTATGATTCACATAAGTTTGTGTGGAAAGATATTTAAAAATCCTCTTGTGAGCTACAATAGAAGGTGATAGAAGAAACTTTTTTACCAATTTAATATTTACCCTTTTATTTTTATCAACAATTGTAATTTTTAATTTTATTTTTAAGGCTTCTATCAAGGCAAAAATAAGCCCTGCCGCAAAGTCCCTCTTGAAAGAAGTGAAAAGGCATCAGAGGTCAAGGAGGTTAGTCTTAAGCCAGTTCTTTAATGTATTTTATATTTATAAAAAAGGATTTAATCATACAATTAAGAAATTGAAGCTGTCAGTTTGTGCTTAAGTATCTTTCTATGTATTATTTCTGCAGCATAATTGGCTTAGGTAAGTAGACAACTGATGCAATCGGCTCTTAGTGCTTTGGAGATAGTTCTATTTAGGCTGTTTTTAACTATTTAGGCTGTTTTTAACTCTGAATGATTTCAGTCTTGATTTTATTTCTTACTATTCCTGCAAAGGAGATTATCATTAGTTTTGATGATTTATTGTTTTTATTCCTTATGCTGTAGTAAATACCTTAGGATAAAATGAATAGTTGCTTATTTTATTACATGAAACTAAAATCATAATAAACAAAAAATAATAATTTTAAGTTGACTAATGCATTTTAAATTTAATGAATAAGAATTTTTTAAAGTATTTTTGTAAGAATTTTTTAAAATTATTTTAGAAGTTTTTTCAATTAACCTTTAGCTTAGTTAACCTTTATGACTGTTTTTTGATTTTTATGATTTCTTTCTCAAAGTTACATTCTTACATACAAAAATGTGCATTGAATGGTGTTTTGTTTCATTTGATATTAGTTTATTATTATTTCTTATGTTTCTCACGAAAAGTATAATGTTCAGTGAAATTAAATTTGAATTAAGAACATCTTCCCCTTAAACTTTTTGTTTGTCCCTTAAAACTATGTTTTGTTTGTCCCTTAACTTATGTTTTGCTTGTCCCTTAAAATTATCCCAGAATTAAGGGTCAAACATGTTGTCCCTTAGTTTTGAGATAGATTTAAACTGTGTTTTTCATAATGAAAGTATACTTAGCTAGAAACTTTATACAATCACTTTGCGATAACTCTAACTTGTGAAGAACTCTGAACTATTAAAAGTTTGACTTACCATTAGTTTAGATTTTAAAGCCATAAGAATTGTCCGACATAAAAATTAATATGTAATAATTATAGATCTTCTTATAATATTCAAGACAAAAAAAGAGATATGTTGTTCAGTTATCACACCAGCACTGATATGAAAATTTGAGAAAATTGTGGAATTCAATAAATCTATGCTAGTTTTTTCTTCTTCATGGTTGGTTTTCTGTTCACATCATCATTAAGATAAATTTTATCTTCTAAGTTAAGAGTTTTTCTCTTTAACACCAACTGTCTATAAATTCTTCTTCACTAATTCTAAAAGTAAATAATCTCTAGTAAACATGTCGACTTATTTCATCTTAATTTTTAAAGCTTAAGAAGTTTTTCCATTGATAAGTATGATTATATGCATATTTTGTGAGCATTTTGATTTAGGTGTTTAAATCTTTTTCTTCTTCCTTTGAACAACTAAGTATGAAGGCAGAATTGAGAATGTTTTTTAATTTTTATTTTATAATGTTTGTCTTGATAGAAGTTTCATCTAAGATTTTTAAAATTTAACTGTATTTAGTATTTTACTCTAAAATGTTGTTCTCCATTAATTGATGTTTTTCTTCTTTTTTTTTATAAAAAGTTTCTGGGGATATTGAATTTAGTTTTTCTTAATCAATGTATTAAATTTTTTGAATTAAACAAAACACAAATTAAGTTAAGACCTTTTTTTTATCGTGAGTGTAGAAGTAGATATTTATTCCACTACAAAATAATTTTTTCTAATCAGTTTATTTTAAAATTTCTATAAAAAAACACAAATATTTAAAAATTTTCAAGAAAAGCTAATACCTAAAAATAATTTAAAAATTTCTTTTATTTGTTTATATATAACAATAATTTATTATTTCATAGTAATTATGACATTTCAAAACTAACTAAATACTATACATAAATGATGTATTTTGACTTTATTAACTATTTCTTTTACTACTGATACTTAGATCCTATGTATACACTTTTACATGTTAAAATCCTTTTTTATTACAAAACTGCAAGTTGTTTCTGTTTGAAGCAGTTTTTCTGATAGTTGTTTAAAATTGTCAGTTTAAAATATATTTATAATGGATCGTTTCTTTCTTTCTTTCTTTTTTGTGATATTTTTTAGTTAGAGAGAACCATCACATTCTAATTATTTGGAAGGACTTAATATCTTCATTAATGAAGTTATACTTGTATTTTTTGTAAATTAAGAAAATCTTTATATTTTAGGCATGATTTCTTTTTTACTTTAAATTTATGCATTTTTCTTATCAAAGAAATAGTTACTGAATAGTAGCATATAAACAGCTAGTTTAAAAGAATTGTGATAATTAACAATTTGTGGTCTTTTTTTTAATGTTTTTTTAAAAATTTTATTATAGCAAGAAAATTGTTTCATATGTTGTTTATTCCTTTGATTGATTAGATTTTGCTTGAATTTTGTAAATGTTCAGTTTTGTCTGATGCATTTTCAGCATGATTTGTTTTTTCTCTTTTACTGAATATATGTTTTTATGTGAATTATATTCTTCAAATATTTAGTTCTAAATTAGAAACAGAAAAATTTCTTAAAATATAGCATTTATGAAAAAAAATATATTATTAACTTATTACCATTTATTTTGGTTTTTCATGTATATACTTATTTTTAATAAAAATTAAATATTCTGTAGACATTTTGTCCCAACTTATTTTTAATAAACTTGTTGGTGCCTTTTTATTGATAAGTTTTTAAAAACTAGGAGCCCTATTGCTGTTGCTAAAAGTTCTTAAACCTGAGCTTCTCAAAATTTTTCTCTCTCTACTCAGAATTGTTTTACCATCAAAGAATTTTATTAATCAGTTTGCTGCATGGAACCTAATATACTTTAAACTGTTTCTAAAAAATAGTAGTGAATATACTACTAAAGTTATTTTAAATGTTGCACAGTATATGGTTAATAAATTTACGAAAAATTAAGTATGTATCTATCTTGATTTTTATCAATCGCATAAAAATTAGTGTTTTTAATTGTTTTGTTTTATGTTTGGTACTTAAAAATTTAAAGTTATTATTAAATTGTACAAAAATTAAATTATATTACTTTAAGTTTCTAAATATATTGTGAAATGTGATTGTATGTAAACATTATATGTAGTATTAAACTATCGCAAGTATTAAACTATCTAAGCACTTGGTTTGTTGTTACTTTGTTTGATATACTGTTTATTTTTCAAAATAAATTAATAAAAACCATACAGCCCTTTGCATCCCAGTTTGTACCTAAAACTTTAAGGTTTTATAGCTGAAAGTCTTCATATCCTTCAAGCCATTAAAGCGGCATTAAAAATTTATGTTAATCTGAAAGATAGAAATTACCATTAAATACAACACATGCTGAAAAAAAATACCAATTATTAATTAGATACTTTTATTCACTTAGTACATAATTTTTTTTATTAAATCCATTTATTGTAAATCTTTTTTCTGTCATAAAGTATGGTTGAAATCGAATTTCTTAGATAAGTAATAGTATGTCACTATACTAGATTGTTTAATTATTAACATCTGAATTTTATTTTTATAGTTATAAATAGTTTTTTTTAACCCACTGACTGTTCTGTAGGTAGAAAGTCTTATTTTAACCTACAGTCTTCTTTGCATAGTTGAACCTGTTTTTCAATGTTATTAAATAGGGAAATGGTGTATTGGGGCGAAACATTATCTCAATTCGAATCATTATCTTTAGTCCGTTTGAATATCAGCCTGTGGGTTAAAGAAGAAAAAAAACTGATATTGTTCATAAATATAATATTAAAGTAGAAATTAATGTTGTAAGAGCTTTTGAGTTAGTATATTAAAAAGAGTAATTTTATATGTAACTTCAATGCATTTTGTACTCAAACATCTTTTAATTTCACCAATATTTTGCAAAATAATTTAGGACGATAAATTTTTAATAGCAATAGTTATTTGAATTATGTTTTTTTGAAATTCTGCATTTGATTTTTCAGACAGGATAAGCGCTCCCAATCAAATAATGCTGTAGAAACAGAATCTGTTGATGGTAGAGAAAGCAGGAGTTCTGGAGCTAGTAACCGGTAAGCAGTTTAAGTTTTTCTTTATATTCCCTGAATTCTAATCATATATAAGTAATACCAATATAGATTTTTGTAAATTTAATTGTTATAGTTCCCTCAAGTGAAACTTCTGTGAGGAATGCCATTATTATTTATTAAAATTTTAATTTATGTCTTCTAAATTCAAAATAATTTATGAGGAATGGCATTTATAACATGTGCTGAGGTTAATCAAAGGAAATTTAAGTATTATCAAAAATCTTGCATTATTTATAGTTTTGTTCACTGCAGTTTAAGTTGATCATATTTGACTCATATGTATAGAGAAGGGTAGACAAAATAATGGAAACACTTCTACAGTAATACATATTTTCATATTTCTCAAGATATACTTAAAGAATAATTTTATAATTTCAGAAGTGTTTGGATCATGTAATTTCTCATACTTATCAATGAAGTTTAAAGTTTGAAAGGTTTGAGGGACTGACAATAAATTACAAATATAAAATAGTGTTTTTGAACACCCTGTGCAAAAACTGTACCAATAAATTTGTAACTTGTAGCAATTATTTTGGTTATTATATGTAAATATTGCACAAAATTTCGTAAGCCTAGCTTAAATTTTTTTAGAGATATGGAAATTTTTATAAAAAACAAAAAGCTCAAAATGATAGGGGTTTTTCCACAAATTTAATTTTGTACTTTTAAATAAGATTTATTAGAAATGACAATGGTATTGTTAGAGATCTATCTTTTCTTTCGCTTGTTTTCTTCCCTTATACAATCATATTTTGGTGTATGATAATTGATTATAAGTTATCATTTGTTATTAGCTTTGTCTTATGCTACAAAATAATATTTGTACAAAAACCCCTTATCATTTTGAGTTTTTTTTTTTAAAGTACAAAAACTACTTTGAAAATTTGGATTGGAAATTGGAACTTTTCAGATTTTTTTATTTATTAGTTTCCAAGTACGATTCTCTTCAAAATTAAGAAAGGAAAAATTTCAAATTTTTCCCATGTTTGAACAGTATAAAAGAATTGATTTAATTACTCATATTTTGCACGCAACTAATTTTTCTCAAATTTTAAAAGCAATAATTTTTTAACTTATTTTAAATTACTGTAAAAATTTTGTTTAATTTTATTGAATATTTTTAAAATTATAATAAAAACATAACACAAAAAAGTTAGTTTTTTAAAAAATGCCCATATATATTTTAGCTAGGCTTACACAATTTTAACCAATTATTGCACATAATAACCAAAATAATTGCTACAAGTTAGAAATTTATTGTTACATTTTTTGGCATAGGGTGTTCAAAAACACTATTTTCCTCTTGTAATTTATTGTTTGTCCCTCAAACCACTAAAAGCTTTAAACTTCATCTATAAGTGTTAGAAATTGCATGATCCAAACATTTCTGAAGTTATAAAATGATTCTTTAAGTATTCCTTGAGAAATATGAAAAAATGTATTAGCATGGTAGTGTTTCCATTATTTTGTCCACTCCTATATAGCAGACTTGATGAAATTGTGTAGCTGAAATCTGTCCTACAAAGAATTGCTAATGTTTAATTTTATTGTTATATTTATCCTCCAAAGCTTATGTTAAGATAAACTATTTTTTAGTGTAAGAGATGCTGAAAATGGAACTATGCTTCTGTAATAAGTTTAAGATTTTTTCAAAAGATTATTACTTAAACCTGCTTATGTTTCACTTTCTGATTTTCTTTGTTTTTAAAAATGTTATAATTTGAGAGGAATGATTTTGTCAATTACTCATAGAGCTGACTGAATATAAATTCAGTGCAGTCTATGAATTAAATGAGTTCAGTTTTCTTTTTTCTTTTAGAAATATTTTACAAAGCCATTTTAAATTAGTGGATTGAAGTATAATTTTGAAAAATTACCTTAATTTAGGTAACTTATATTTGATTTTTCAATTTCATTAAAAAAAATTTTTTGTGAAGTTAAAAACATATTTAATAGTGAATCATTTTGGTTCAGTCTATTTGCATAATTTTTCTCAAATTTTACATTCTCACTTAGCAACTTGCATATATTTATTACTAAGTAGTTCTGTTCTCTGTATCTTCAAAGAATTCTTTTCTAAATAAAATTTTCTTATTAATGAAATTAAACTATGATTTTTATAAAATTAATGAATAATTTGAAAATATCAATATATGAGTAAAAAGAAGAAAAAAATTATCAAATGTCATTTTATTATACAAAATATAATTTTTCATATGCAAAACATATTTTCAAAGTAAGTTATAAGATTGTTTGCATCCTTGTCTAATTGTTCCCATATCTAAGTCACCATTTAAAAGGTGTTTTGTTTCTACTTATATTTAATATAGAAAGATGGCACATAATGTTAAATTAAAGAAATTTCTGAGAAAAAAAGTGAATTATCACTCTTTTTGATAAATTTACCATTGAGTAATAAACATTAACACCTAGCAAAAAGGATCTTAAAATAGTCAATATTTTAGAAAATAAATATGTGTCAAATTATGCAGGTATTTACACTTAAAATAAATTTAATACTGATTAAATTTTGTATTAAACTTTATTGTTTTAAATTTTTGATATCCTAAAACAAACAAAAAAATTTTTATTGAATTCTATATTACTTTCATAAAGTTTCAAAGTATTGAGAACTGATCCATTGTATTTATCAAAATAGTTAAAAGTAGATTTATTCCTATTTTCTAGAATTAACTAATTAAAAATTACACAGACGTTTATAGCACTGTAGAACAATTCAAAAACAGTGAATTTTAGTTTATAAAAAATAAGAATTATAACTTATATATTTTTTAATGGCACAGCATTCTGTCTATAATTCTAGCTAACGAACTGGAAGAAAAATAAATTTTAGAAATCCAAAGGCACATGTCTTAAATTAATATACTTGTATAATGAATGTTATTATTATTGTTATTAGTATTATGTGAACAACATTATCTCATTACCAGCTTATTATCATTCTGATATTTTTTTCTTGACAACATAGTTTGCCATAAAACATACAGTAAACTGATTGAGCTATTTAAAAATATAATCCAATTGTAAATTGATACAAGGTTTGGTTCTTAAGCAAACTCCTGTAGAGTGCGCAAAATGAAAAATGGATCACCTTAAATAACTTTTGATCTAATGATCAGATCTCCACGTTCTTGGACTCAATCTTAAATTTTTGAGAGGGTGTGACTTCAGATATGCTAAATAGCTGTATATGTAGACTATATTTGAAGTTATAAAATCAGATACACAAACGTAATTTCTCTGGATAACGATGCATTTTTTCACAATTTTTGATTTCTGACCCCTAAAATATAGGGGGTAGCCGCAATCTAGGAGATATGATCCTAATAGTTTGGTCAGGAGATTGATCCAAAGTTTGGATCCCTTAATGTTAATTTTACTTTATATTTATTTCATCATACCTCGAGAGCTTTTAATCAAATTGATTTATCCAAAGATAATTCAATGAAAAATATAACTTTTAGTAAATATTCATCATTATTTTTTTAATAATGATAGAAAACATTCTGAATTGTTTACATCACTTAAAAGATCATCACTTTTCTTGGCAAAATACTAAATTTGAGCAAAGGTGATGGAATAGTTCCTAAGAAATGGAATATTAAAGAAGGCGCTCTTGTTAAATTTCATGTCTCAACTATTAGACCCATTTTGCTTAAATTTTGAATTTTGCCATTTAAAATTACGGCGTTTAAAATGGTGTAAAAAATTTTATAGCTTACAATACAAAGTGTCTTCAACCAGTATTAAATATTTATTAAAAGTTTAATTTTACGTTGTAATTTTTTGAATTCGCTTAAGAACTTCAGAAGGAAAAATAAAAGATAGGAAAAAATAAAATTAACATTAAAGGGTCCAAACTATGGACTATATTACCAGTTTTTTTTTGTCTACCCCCTCATGTTTTGGGGGTCAGAAATCCGAATTCATCGGAAATAAGGTATGATTAATAGAAAAAGCATGTTTTTGTGATTAATTTCATAACTTAAAATATGGTCTGTACTGGTTTATTAGCATATTTAAGATCACTCCCTAAAACATGAAGATCTGTTCATTAGATCAGAAGTTATTCGAGGTGGTTGGTCTTTTATTTTGTGCACAGTACATATAATTGTTATGTACTGTCCCACAAAATGTTGTCCATCCGAGAGTCAGCAAAATACTTTTAATGGTTTATACCTCTTCATATATTTTTTGTCAATAAGTTTTTCTTTTAGATGACAAATTATAAAAAAACCCAATTTTACTAATAAAGATTGTTTAAGTTTTAAAATAGATAATTTCAGATATTTTTTTGCAATTCAGTGGAATACCCTAGATAGTTTAAGCGCTCTTTTCCATGTATAATTTTGCTACTGTATTCATGGTAGTAAAATTTTTCTCATTTTATTTTAAGGCAAAATATATTTTTTATTCATGTATTTTAAATACAATCTATGATCATAGCATCAATGTTTTATCTGTATGTATTCTTTAATAAAATTCCAGATCTTCTAAAAGGAAAAAGAAACGAACCCATACTTCTAACGAGACAACACCTGATGATGCAGTGGAAGGAACCATTTTACAAACTTTACCTCTTTCAAGGATCGAAGGCTCCCTTCCTACAGCAGGTTCACGATCCGATTCATTGGATTACTTCACCCCTCCTACCACCCCATTAGGTGCACCGAAATCTCAATCTCAGACTCACGAAGAAGCTAGGACTCGTGCCCAGTTATTGCAAGAAATACAAAAAGGTTGCAGGTTGAAACGTACCAACTGGTTCCCTGATCCAGAAGTTTAGTTTTGCACCCACAAAAAATGCATCAGGATGTTTTTATGGGTTTATTTTTCAAGAAATTAGTCACAGAATACTTGGCAATCACCATTAGCAGATGGCTTTTCTGATAACCAGAGCTTTTGCAGCAAGTTGCAGTTTTCCGTTAGAAGATAGGTGACACTTACATATCGAGGATATCTAGTACCCTATAGGAAGATAAATATATAATGCTGTTTATATTTGTGAAAAATAATTTTAAGGATATTAAATAGCATTTAATTTAATAAATTTATAGTAAAACTTATTATTTAAAAGCATATATATCATTTCTGATTATCCAATCGAAATTCTGAAGAGAAAAAATGAAAATTTTGTAGATATTAAGGTTAAGCAGTTTTAATTTCAAAGAACTTTGACCTTTTTGAGTTTGCCAGGAAAATATTCCGTATAATTTCGCCCAGAATTTTAACTAGAATTTATTTTTATAAAATTCAAATTATTAATATATATTTTTCATTTGAAAAAATTTTATTATCAATCATGTTATTTTGCAGATTACAGTAAAGACTCTTAGAAAAATAATAACTAATCTTTATTTAATTTGTTTGGTATGTTTTAAGGAAACAATGGACATTCAAAACATAAAAGTGCAATTTTTATTCCATTCTTTTCAAATTTTAATGTAATATTGGTAGCATTAGTATAAGTCTATGTACAGTCCTCGAAATAAAAAACGGACCAGTTTCTGAAATATTCTTTAGTTTGAAAATGTTTGCAGTACAAAATTCCATTACAAGTTTAAATTTTTAAAATTTTATTAAAGGATTTTTTAATAATTGTATGTGAACTTAGTTCACCTTTCTGCTTACTTAACTTGTAACATAAAATAAATGCGTTTTTTGAGGTCAAAAAGCTTTAATGGAATAAATTGTTACAGAATTCGAAATTGAATGTTTAGGGAACCTGGAATTTTTACTAAATGTAGTTGCGTATTTCGGCACACTTTCCTGATCAAAATTTTTATTTCTATTTTAATGAAAACAAAAAAAATAAATAATTTAAAGCTGTTCGTTGCTTACTAGTTTGCCATGCATTTTTGTGTCCTGTTTTAGCATGTTTGTGTCTACGAATAAGTTTTAGATGCATAATTTCATTCTTTTTTAAATAATTATGCTTATCATTTAGTTTTATTTGTATTATGTTCTCATTTTTAGAAACATTTGTTGCTTTTATAATTCATTTCAAGAGAATTCATTAGTATTTTTTATTATTCATTCTAAAAAAAAAGAATAATTTTTTAATGGAAATTATTAATTATCCAGTCTTTTTACATAGAATTATGAGATTTCAATTATTCGGAAATTTAATGCTTGTATATTATAAAAATTGAGTTTGGGGGAAAAGGAACCTATGTTTAATTTGGGAAAAAATCATGAGCATATGTTGTAAGGCTAATAGGCCATAAGTTCTGTTTTTCCTAAAAAAACTCAATAAATATGTTCTTATTAAACTTAAAAAAGCCTTGTCACATCAATATTCATTATTTTTAAAATTTCATCACAATAATAAAAAAAGCTTTTAAAATTTATTTATCTTATACTGTTTAAGATCTTATTTGTAAATCCAGCTTCATACATTGCATGTATTTAAAAAATTTGAATCAGCTGTTAGTATTTTGCTTAATATTCTGTTATATAAGATGGCCATCTCCGAAGCTTATTAACAAACATTGAAAAATTTTTTTTACATGAAGGGAAAATAACTTCTGTAGAACTTATTTTCTTCTGCTTGTTCTATGAAATTTGGATTTATATAAAACCCTCATACAAATTTCAAATATTCAGCTGTAAAAAAAATATACAGTATAGAAATTATTTTCACTTCATGTTCAAAAAANGAGCAGTTCTTATCAAGTTTGCCAGCTGGACTTCTTTGTTAATATCATGTGTGAGTCATAATTTTTATTAGAAATGATTAGAAAAAAGTTAAATATAACTATCCCACATCTTTTTTTGATAAACGAAACATATGTTACTGCTATCCAGAATTTTCTAATAGGAAACGTGTACTTGTGTATAAATTTGTATTATACAGTAAAAAATTTAACTTTGTAAAAAAAAAAGTTAAAAGGATATTAGATATAAATGCATAAAAAAAAATTTAATTACATGTTTCATATTTTATGCATATCTGCAGCTACTTAATAATAGTTATTTAAATTTCTTCTTAATAGATAAAAGTAGTTCCATTTTTCTATAGATTTAGAATCTATATTTAATATTATGCTGTGCAGAACAATTTCCTTACATTTCATGGTACTATATTAGTTTAAACTGTTCGTATAATGACATTTTGCTCAAATATGTATTGTTGTGCATCATTTGGTGCAATATTGTGTTCATAAATATGTCCTATAAGGAAAGTATCTTAAGTATCACTCTCAAATTAAGCCTACATATTTTAAGATTAGGAGTTTAATGCTGTACTAAAGGGTTGACAGGATTTAAAATACCTGATTTTTTTTAAATAGTCAAAAATATTTTACGCACTCTTATTGTTGCAATTTCCTCTATTTAAAATTTTTAAGTCTGATTTCATTGATATTAAAGTTTTTTTTCCCCAAGCAATAATGGAATAAGTGTAGTGTATGTAAATTATTATTATGGGGTCCAAATAGACTTAAGGACTAAATATGGAAAAGAGTGATGCAAAACTTATAAATTATACTTCTCTGTTAGCTGAGAGTAAAATAATTTACTGTTCGTATAATAACAATTTGTGTAGATTGTTGATGTGTTATAAATAATGAAAAAAGATTTGTTTTTATCAAGATTTAAGAGTACTTTACAAAAATTGACTTTTTTTCTGATGTTTTATGGTTGAAACAAATTTTTCTTCATTTGGTATCTAATGGACAAATCGGATCTTTGTGTTTATAAATTCACAAAGGTGTTGAGCTTGAATAAATGATCAAATTTATGAATTCAATGATTAGTTTGTATAGATCTTTTAATAATTTAAACCATTTTAAGACCAAATACCATTGACTTTAATTGCAACATTGTTTTGAAATAATATTAAGTATTATTAATATATTTTACTAGAAATTGGTTTAGTAAACGTTAAAAGAAAATTATGATTTTGTCTTACTTTGATATACTGTCAAAAGTGGCAAAGTTATTCATTAGGTAGAAATAATTTAAATGCCTTATAATTTTGAGAAAAAAGCTATAGTATATAGTAAATGTATATATGCAGTAATATGTAAACTGTGAATCATACACCTGGGTCAAAAATGATCAAGTCTTTGACAGAAAACGCATCTGTTAACAGTACCTAATTTTAGTGCTATTAGTATTATTATTTTATTTTTTCAATTAAGGTGTGGAAAAAGTACTATGTTTTAGCTAACAATTATAGACACATTTGCAATCACTTTTATTATTTACTATTGCTTCTGATCAAAAACTGAATTTCTTAATTACTAAACTTCCTTTTTTTATTTGTAAAAATTAATTTGCGAATGATATTTAGGGTGACTTCCTTGTAAGTATATTTAGTGAAACCTTAACAATGCAATAGTTACTGTAAATATTGAAATACATTAATGATACTGATTAAAGTTATTTTGCTACTTTTTCAGTAAGCTTCCGTAGTTCTGTGAAACCTTATATTTATTACTATTACCTATATGCTCATAATTTTCTGTTATTTACCTATATGCTTACAAATACATTCATGTATAGAAAAAAAAAGTTAATTTTATGTATATAACAGTTATTAATAACACTTAAAAACAGGAATATTTTTTTTTTATAAATAGTTTATTTGAAAAAGATCTATCATGACATTATTTGATGCCTATTGTAAGAAACTATTGGTAATTTTATTTTTTTTAAACACTTTTTTGGTAAAAGATTTTTTTTTTAATCCATTCAAATTCATTAAATTCTTAAAATTCAATAAGAAAATTTATTGTCAGTAGTATTGCTTTTTTATGCAAAATTTGAGTAACCTATACAAAGGAAACTTTGTAATGAATTTATTATAATTCATAGATTGACAACATAGCTGCATTAATATTAATGATTATTATTTTTGTTCACATAAATTACTGTGCATTAATGATTATTATTCTTTTCATATAATAAATTACTGTGTATTAGTATACCTGGAGAGTATTTTTAGCTGTAGCCTTTTCTAAATACTAATTTTCTGAAGATTATATCATTATTTAGATTTGGTTTCGCTATAGAAAGTTAAATTTTTATTTTTAAAAATACTTATTTTAGTTTCAACTTTTAATTTTGAAAGTTTAATTGATTAATGTATTTTTTTATATCATACCTGTAGCTTTGTATAAGAAGAGTTAATGTCACTATTTTAAGAAAAGTTTTGTAATAAACCTTAATAATAGTAACCAAAACCAAATTTCTAAACTAAAACAAAATTTCTTATACTTTTCCATAAAAAATAGTTTTGTAAAAATGAAACACCATTTGATTTAAATATAAAATTCTCTGTCAAGTATGTTAAGTGTTTTAAACTTTTTTTTGAAAAAAAATAAATAAATCATCTAATAAATAAGCATTCTTTGCTCCGTTCTGAATGAACAATAATCATGTTTCTGAAGATAAATAAACTAATGGCAACTATTTTCTCGACTTTATCAAAAATAAATTGATAGTAATAACTGAAAAATTATGCGAAAATATGGCAAAAATTAAATTGCTTTCATTAAACTGATGTGTCGTTAAACGGATGATGTTAAACTGATGTCATACTCTAAGTATTTATTTCAATTTTTTTAAAAATAAATTGAAATTTTTTGAAATTTCACTTTTATTATATAATTTTTTCATCTCTACATCATATCTAGTGGTTATATGTGCTATTACTCTTAACTAATGTACATACTCATTGCATGACTTACATTTTTAAATACCAATTTTATGATAACAAACTATTAAATATAATGCTTTCAATAACAGGACATATCAATATGAACAATTTCTTTATGGATCTCAATATAAATGTCTCTCTCTATCTTTTAAGATTTTATAATATATGCATGAATGCTTTTTGCATATGCTAAAAGTTGCATAATTTAGGCCAAAACAATATTTTTTAAAAATTTAATAATACTTTCATTTTGAGCATATTTTATTGATTAAGAATATTAATTAGGACATTTACATTCAAAATTATCAATGAGTGTGAATTGCTTCAAGAAGTAACTCAATTACTTAAAGTATTATTTATTATTTATTTAAAAATGTGACATGTTGTAAAGTAAGAAAATTAAATTATTTATAATTTTTTAGCTATGATTGTTTAAAAATATGTTATAAATTATGCATTATTTAAATTATTTAGTGCTTGAATTTTTATCTTTAATTAGTGATTATCTGAAATTTTAATTTTATAAAAAAAGAAATTTATAGCTTGTATTTTTGAAACTGTTTGTTTTTATAATTATTTTTATTAAACTAGCTTACCAAATTCATTAAAACTACATTTTTTATTTAAAGTATAGAAGTTTTAAAAATTAAGGTAATATTGCGTTTTCATAATTTTTATTTTTATTATAAATTAATAAATTTTTTTTTAGAAACATAATAGCATAATATAAAATTTTTGCAATTTTTAAACCTAATAAATATTAATTTCATTGACAGGAGAGAGAATAAAGTAAATTATACCAATGAAAATCGCTAAAACATATTACTTATTGTGGAATTGCTAATTTTTTATTTACTCATTCAATAGCAGGGATAATGGTGGATTATTTTAGTAAGTAATAAATATTAATAATGAATTATATTATAAACTGTAGTATTATTGGTGATTATTAGAGTCTGAATTTTGATGACCTAAAAAATCTCAAAAAATGCCCTTAAAATGCAAAAATTGCGCTAAAAATGCCTTATGACATGACTTAAATAGAAGTAAAAATATTGAATTAAAACAATGTTTTACTCTTTAAAATTATTATGAGTCGTTTAAAAAAATATAAAGCAATGCAATACTTGTTCTACGTTCATTAAAGTTTGACAAATATGTTTTATATCCAAAAATAACAAAAAAAAAGAAAATATATTGACTCCAAAACATTTTCATTTTGTATAGAAACTTAAATGAATATAACAACTTCCATCTCATAATATTACTAAATATCAGAATTACAGTGGATTATTAAATTTTTTTTTTAATATTTTGAAATGTAAACGAGCGTCTCTTGTCTGAAAGCAAATTTTTATACCAGGAGAAGCTTCTTTCAACGTCTACTGATGTTATTGGTGCGTACTTGAAAAGGACGGTCACACTTACTGACAATTCTTCTTCAATTTGAAAAGATGTTGCTTCACCTGTTAATATCCTAGAAATTTTCTTCATTGTTTGGAAGCCAGTGTAATAATAAAAAATAATAAAAATTAGAAAAAATTAACAAAAAATTTAAAAATGCTTTAAAATGCAAAATACGCCCTAAAATTTAAAGAAAATGCCCTATAAATCTCA